CACTCACTCACTAAAGAACCAATACAACACATATATTCATACTTTTATACCAGTCTAACAAAGAAACACGGAAACCAGGAAGAAATGAATTCAGATCCTCCCGTGTACAACGTATCACAGCGATGATACAAGGTGTTCGAAATATCGATCACCTGTTATGAATTAGGGTCTTTTGTTCCATTGAACCGACTAAAAATCAAAACGAGGATGTGCAGTGTGAATCTAGATGGTAAAAATACTGTGATGTGGTATACGCTGTGTTGTATATGGGCTGGATATACTTAGTTATACCTTTTCGCCAACACCTAGTATTTGAGAGCGATTTATGGCACCTGCTATTGGCATTTTATAGTTGAAATCTTGCAATTGATTCAGATCTGTTTTCGGCAGTTATTTCTTATGACCATGGCAAGGTCATCGTATCCCAATTTCGTAGGCCGATGTTCATGCTGTCACGGGATTGTCTGGTCCAGATTCGATTATTTACAGAGCGTCTCCATATAGCTGGAATATTGCTGAGTGCGGCGTAAAACATAACTCACACGCAGAGGTTGTCCATAGTCGTATTTCAGCAATGTTTCAACAATATTTCAGCAATCATTGTATTTCGACATTATATACTAATGTTAAAGTAAAACAGGGGCGGTGGGGTAACCTAGTGGTTAAAGCGTTGGCTCGTCACGCCATAGACCCGGGTTCGAATCCCCACATGGGTACAATGTGTGAAGCCCATTTCTGGTGTCCCCCGCCGTGATGTTGCTGGAATATTGCTGAAAGCGGCGTAAAACCAAACTCAGTCTGTCAGTCAGTAAAGTAAAACAGATCAGACATAATTTCAAGCTCGTTTTATTGTTTATCCTGAAAATACCAAACCGTTCTTTGTCACAATCCAAATGCAGAGCTTGGGAGAATTTCAGCTCATGAAAGTTTAAAATGATGTCAAGTCAACTGAAGACCATACTGTGAGGGCATGAAACCATCATGTTTTCTCGATCTTAATATATCTATACTCTGTTTTGTGTTATGTTTCCGTTAGTTGGTATTTAAGTTTTAAAATAAATGCATCTATTGGATACAATCAGAACATTTTAACATTTAACATAAGAAATGGTAGTGTGTCTACAATCATTTATTGCAATGCAACCTCAATATCTATTTTTATTTTTAAGATAAGAAGAGTCGCCGATATAATTAAATTTGCGGCTATATAACCACCGGTATACGTCCCCAATTTGTCAAACACAGTACAGGTATCCCCTAAATACAATTGTGACAGAGGTATTAGCATTGTGACGTCATAACTGTAAAACATGGCCGAGTCATCCGCCGGTACTTGTTGTTACCCTGGACTCGACATTAAGGAGTAAAGACGTTGTCGGATTCGGCAGAACCCAACTCAACTCAAAGGCATTGTGTGTTCCTTCTGTTGTCTTGTGCTTACTGGTCGGTAGCGTTTCAGCTCTATGAGAGGAATGTCAACAGTTTGAACATGGCCGAGTCATCCGATGGTACTTGTTGTTACCCTGGACTCGACATTAAGGAGTAAAGACATTGTCGGATTCGGATCCAGTATAGTGTGCCTGGGTGGGGTATCCATATTGAAACTACCTATGAGTGAGTGAGTGAGCTGGGTTTTACGCCGCTTTCAGCAATATTCCAGCTATATGGCGGCGGTCTGCAAATAATCGAGTCTGGACCAGACAATCCTGTGATCAACAGCATGAGCATCGATCTGCATAATTGGGAACCGATAATATGTGTCAACGAGCCTGACCACCCGATCCTGTTAGTCGCCTCTTACGACAAGCATGGGTTACTTAAGGCCAATATTCTAACCCGGACCGTCACGGGTCGTTCGTCCTGTGAAGCACGAGGATTTGTTCAAGAATTTTCACTTGCACGTATGCACACACGCTACATAAGTGGAATATTCACGATGTTAAACGCGACGTTCAAACCCATTTTACCTCCCCTCACATGCTGATTTTGAGAGAAGGTACAAAGTGGCAATTCCCTTTTCATTTTGTCTCACACAGCTTTTGAACTATTTTCTATCTTAGACGGTCCGTGGAGACAACTTCAAAGTATGCGTTGAATAGTGTATGGAAGGACGTAGGTGACTGACCTCCAATACACTAGTGAAATATCAACTGTTTTAGTTTGACACAAAATGAAAAAAAACAAACAGTGAAATTATCTTGACTGGTCTCGGAAATGGTACTGATATATACTAGATCCTAATCAGCAGAAATCTCGGATCAGCGGAGAGGTCGAGAGGCAGCCTTCCAAAGCGGGCCAGATAATAATAATGACATTTATATTGCGCTCTCTCCACGCCATATATCACAGAGAGAGAGAGAGAGAGAGAGAGAGAGAGAGAGAGAGAGAGAGAGAGAGAGAGAGAGAGAGAGAGAGAGAGAGAGAGAGAGAGAGAGAGAGAGAGAGAGAGAGAGAGAGAGAGAGAGAGAGAGAGAGAGAGAGAGAGAGAGAGAGAGAGAGAGAGAAGGGGCGGAGGTTCGTAAAGCACAGCAAGGTTTCCATCGTGAGCCCATAGTCAGAAGGATGTTGGAGGTAGTGGACCAGAGATTCAACACTCTCTAGGAGTGCCCAGAGCTGTACTCCTGTTCAGCATTAACCATTGTGATACCGTTTCCAATCTCCTCGGGAATAGAAATCAGTTTATATTGACCTTGAAATACCATGGCATACAGATGTCGATTGCATGATATTATCATTTTTAGTTTTTATATTTATATGGGTTAAAGTGAGTGAATAAACTGGATTTTACGCCGCTTTTAACGTATTGTCTATCAAACACCATGTGACAGATATGTTGGTTACATGCTATTATCATTTCTAGTTGTTATATTCATACGGGTTAAAACGAGTGAATGAATTGCATTTTACGCAGCTATTAAACTACGGGTTAAATGGTCTATCAAATACCATGTTGCATATATGGTGATGATTATTATCATGTTCTGTTTTAATGTTAATCAAATCCGACAATATATAGAACAACCCAGAATGCTATAGCTATTGATTCATGCTTAATCTAAGCATCAGGGGCAGTCATAAAATGAGATTTAATACTCGTTGCTGTGACACGCTGAATCTTGACAATATGACAACGAATTCCGGCTGCATGGGTTACTATGAACGATTTGATGACAGATGACATCAGGGCCCACCAACGCATGAATTTCACAGTCAACTCGAAACAAACTGGCAGACATCCTTAATCCTAAAACCTAGTAGTACGGAATCAAATCATTCGGCTGAACACGTCATGATGGACACGGCTTATTCCCATTCATATTCCAAAGTCATCGTTTCATTCTGTTGTGAACTAACTTCCAAAGCGAATTAAAGTCGTGCCACATGCATTGACATTTAAAATGCTCAAACACAGCTCCACAGTGAAATGAAGTAACATCAGTGTTATGTCTATTTAATTACACGAATGGTTTGAAAGCTTTTAAACAGTCCCAACTCGCTGCTCGAGGAAAGCTCGTAAAGACTCATTAAATCGGCGAGAACAAGCGTGACTCTGTAGTCGGGTATCCCCATTGGAATACACACTATGGCTGATTGTGTACATGTTACTCAAAGTGACAAGCTATTCGGTAGTTAATGAGAGCAGCTGTCTGATTGGTTATAAAGTTGGAACTATGGATGGTCATTTGTGCTCTTGACCATCGGTATATACGTCATCGTCTGAGCTGAAAGACTAATCGTGCATAAGTTGAAGCCTAGCTATTCCAACAGACGCTTCATCCCTCTGTATCTTGACCTTTCATTCGTGAGCGAGATAAAACGAGATTTTGGTGTCTGTATATGGCTCTGTGCTTTGATATTACTTCATTATTCGCCGTTTATACAGTCTGATGTTTGTCAGTAACAATGTTTCAATTTATGTTTGGTACTTTTCACCATTATTTGTCGAGTGCTTTGTATTAGCCATGTGAGGGAGATTTCCAAATGTGATCAGTGATCAAATAATATCCACCATATGCTCCCGTCTTTTTCGGGCGTACAATTGACTTGCTTTTGTTTGTTTGTAACAGTTGCAGGATACGCTCATAGTTTTGCGAACACACACACACACACACACACACACACACACACACACACACACACACACACACACACACACACACACACACACACACACACACACACACACACACACACACTGGTATACCTATTGGTTATATTAGGTGTTAACGAAAAGTGATAGGGTGTGAATGGATGATCAGCATTTTTTTAATGATTATTTGAAGTTATATGTCCCTATTATCAGGAAATATACATGACTGTGATACAATTTTGTGGGAAACCTACAACATTAGTTTTGCAATACTTGAAATAGAATATTTATATGTTACCTGATTTTCTGGCTGTAAATTGATGTAAAAGACGTGACACTATTGTATGTATGAATATGTTTCAAAATACCAATGATGGATTAGAATCATTGGAAGCTCAAAGTAGACCAAATTCAAAGAGATAAACTTGTATTTATGTCACCTTACAAAAGAGTTTATAAGAAGCCACTTTCAGCACATTACAGCAATATTATCGTGATGGACAGCAGAATTTGGCTTCCACATTGTACAAATATGGTAAAACATTCCTTAAAGGAAAATCGAAAAGGTATACACCAGAGTGTCTAACTGTATCTTATAATCGTGAGTTACCAAGGGGAGATAATAAGACGGTAAAGACCGGTCGGTGAAGGTCAAGGTCACGTTAAATCTGACCTTTAATCTATGAAAACGAGTCAATAACTGACAAACGAGAAAGGGTCACGTGAAACGTGAATGAGAAAGGGTCACTTCAGTATCATGTCATTTCCTGTGTTTGTCACATCGTCTCTTGAAAACAGATTCCTTTTAAAATTGGATAATGGTAAATAGCAACCAATCTTTCTGACAGAAAGGAACACGTCGCGCAGTTTGTTTCACTGACACTACCCTGTAATAAAGAAAAACGTGGACTGCTTCTATAAAGAATCTTTATTGTTGCTGGATGATAAACACTATATGGTTCTGACAAAACACTTTTTTACAACTATAATCATCACGTCTTTATGTTCACTTATAATCCGATAATTCTCTTTACCTTGAGAGCTTCTGGTAGCTTAACATGCGTGTTATAACAGATTTCACATTCTTATCAGTCCATATGATAGGGGGTCTGCTATCGCTTGTGATACGTCTTTGTTTAGGGTTCTTGCAACAAGTTCTTGATGGGGTCATCTCAAATACGTGTATCATAGTCGCTCAGTACAACACAACCAAATACGGCTTATCTAGGGGCGATATAATCTACTGGGCTGTAGAGAGAAATAATGCGCATGATTCATATGTGATGTTTGTTCGGTACCATAAATCAAGGAAACATAGTTTGGAATATACACGTGATTTTCATTGTCCTGCTATATTCTGCATTCGGCAGTGATTTGTTTTCTTTATTTTTTATCACAAAAACATGATACAGGTTAAAAAGCACCCGATATCAAATAAAATCGATAATTGCCAAAATCAAATTTTGAAATCTAAATCTACATAATTATTATTATTATAGAATTATGTATTATTATATAATTAATTTTAATAAACGAAGCTACAAAAACATCTCATCAAGGACATTTAATGCTACAACAAAGCATGTGATCCAAGCTGTATATTTCCTTGATTCAAGAATGACATCTACATGATAACGTTGCTTTAAAGAATATATATTAATCTCCATCGTCACACATGAATGATGTAAATGCAGGGGTACGCCAAGGCGAGCGTGTAGGTGGTTGTCTTTTCCTGTGTTTGGCAGTATACGCGGAGTCTTTGTCACTCTCTGTTCTCGAGCACGTCACATGATGTAGCGACGCAGCATTATTTCTCTCAGTCGTAGTTTTTTGAGCGAAGAAGCTGTTGAACAAGTTTAATCAAATCTGCTTTGGACGTAGGCTGATCTCTTGCTCGAACATCACACCGTGAGTTAAAGGAACACGCCTCTGAAAAATTAAATAAAATCATAAGATGGCATGTTATCAAAGTGGGAAGTATTTCACACTTCACGTGAGCGACGTTAGCTTAACGCCACTTTGAGAACAAAATCAGTAGCATTACGACGTGTCAGATTCATTTTGGAGCCTGAGTGTTTTTGGCATAATGGTGAAACCAGCCCACCCGGAGATTGTGCTGACAGAGCAATATTTATAATAGAGGTAATCTGGGGTTCGAAGTCAAGACCATCTAAAATCCAAGGGATGTAACTCTGCACAGTTTAAACCCGCCGAGCATTGCGGTTCCATTCTAAAAACGTATAAAAAGATATCGAAACTCGGACTTAGATTATATTGAAGGAAGCAAAATTGGTTTTGTTTGGTTGTTGTTTTACGCCGCACTCAGCAGTATTCCAGCTATACGGTCTGTAAATATTCGAGTCTTGACCAGACAATCCAGTGATCAACAGTATGATTATCGATCTACGCAGCTGGGATACGATGACATGTGTCAAGTCAGCGAGCCTGACTACTCGATCCCATAAGGCGCCTCTTACGACAAGCATGGGTTACTGAAGACCAATTCTAACCCGGATCGTCACAGGTCTTGTAGCTATATGACGCTGGTGTGTAAATAATCGAGTCTGGACCAGACAATCCAGTGACTGACATCATGATCATCGATCTACGCAGCTGGGATACGATGACATGTGTCAACCCAGTCAGCGAGCCTGACCACCCGATGCTGTTAGTCGCCTCTTATCGACAAGGATGGGTTACTGAAAATCAATTCTAACCCGGATCTTCACGGGTTAAAGGTCACAAAATAAGTGCTATGCCCAGTCAACGATAGCTGTTGACGGAGACACTCACCCTCATCACAGCACATTCCCTCGGATACACAGTGACCTTGACCCCTTGACCCACAGGTTGCTCCACGTATTACGCATGGCGTTGAGCTTTCGTTTTCCTTTTGGCAAATACTGGCTTCTTGGGTTCCAAAATAACATCCAATGTCACTCCCACAGCAAATGTTCGGTCCTACACATTGTCCCCTATCACCAGGTCCACAGGCCATACACTGCAAACACAATGCAAACATCATTATATATATCAGAGAGAGAGAGAGAGAGAGAGAGAGAGAGAGAGAGAGAGAGAGAGAGAGAGAGAGAGAGAGAGAGAGAGAGAGAGAGAGAGAGAGAGAGAGAGAGAGAGAGAGAGAGAGAGAGAGAGAGAGAGAGAGAGAGAGAGAGAGAGAGAGAGAGAGAGAGAGAGAGAGAGAGGAGAGAGAGAGAGAGAGAGAGAGGAGAGGAGAGAGAGAGGCGATAGATTTCCAGAGAGACAGACAGACAGACGAGTGAGAGAGCTTGAATGTAGCTAAGATATGCAACTATCATAATAATGTTCAAATAATCTATAATACCGATCTTTGAAGGTACATATGAAAAAAAACCACAGGACTGCAGAATCATTTTGAGCTGATAACAAGTGATATGTCGAGGTATCAAAATATATCCATCGTCAACGCCGAAGAGCATCGGTCTCAATTATCCGTCGAAACAGATTCGACTTTGCAAAAAGGGTACGATAGTGAATGAGTATGGTTTTACGGTTGTTAGCAACATTCCAGCAGTATCACGGCGGGGGACATAAACGGCACAAAAATAGTAATCAACAGCATATGAATGGGTCACTGAAACTCAGTGTTTGTACAGGTGTTCAAGAATTGGGTAAATACTTTTTGGACATAAGGTAAGCGTATCCCGGTCCACTGCTGGGGCCCGTCACAAATACACGCAAATGCAAGTGAACTGCTAATGTTAATTTCTCCACTTACAGTAAGTGTTCTAATAGGTGCTATTATAGCCGTGCATGAATAATGACATTCCTATTTTGGTATATAATGGTCATGGCGATAAGTTTGTTGCCCCACCAGTGTCACACGTCTTAAACACATGCAGCGGCATGTCAATTATTCAAAATTCAAAGTAACTGAAACATACGGTCAATAACACACAGGGGGCGGTGGTTTAAGTGGTTTATTCCCGGGTTCGATTCCCCAAATGGGAACAATGTGTGAAGCCCATTTCTGGTGTTCTCCGCCGTGATATTGCTGGAATATTGCTAAATGCGGCGTAAAACTATACTCACGAACTCCCATTACACAAGCCATGTACTGCGACCCTTTCTCTCCGAGTTACCTATTTTGTTGGTGATGGAGAATTTGTTTAGTTAGTATGGCACATTAATTCCGGGATATTCATTTATGTAATTAATGACTCATTTACCCCATCAAGGAACGTGACCAATGAGGCATGTTCGCGAGCGGCGCAGTCATGAGGGAAAATGTTAACAGTGTTAAGTTACGAGATGAGATGCACGGCATATCAACAAATGGCCAGTCATTGGTATTGGAATTTTGTCTGGACGTCAGAATTACAGGAAGCATCTACAACATGTCCTAACTGGCTCTTTCAGAAATGTTGTAATGTTTTTCAGTGGCGCCAGAAGAAACAATGTTGATTATGATAAACTGATGACGTCATTTGACATTTCTAGAGCGTTATAGTTGCATGATATTTTCATACTTTCGTTTATACAAAAGACTAATACTGCGAGGTCAAGTGGATCATGTTACTGAATGATATACTGCTACAATTCTCGTTGGATCAGCAGTGAACCAAGAATTCTATGTATTTAACGGGACCAACAGTTGTACTTTGCCGTTATTATTATTTCATTATTCTCCTCATTTTATACATTTAAAATATGTATTACATGAACAATTTATAACTGAAGCGAAGACGGTTGTAAGTAGTTTTCGGTATGTACAGTGTTCATATGACCGAGTAGATCATTGTACCATGAAAACGGTTATATAGATCTGAGACCGACTGATAACTCCAGTGCATAACAGTCTGTAATTCGCCATGATTATTCACATTTTACCGTCTTTGTAACCAAATATGACGTCATGTTCCATTCTGAACAACCCAACTGTTAATCCTTATACCATAGCATGCAGTGAAATATAGAAACACCATTACTTTTATGCATTAAGAGCACTGACACTGCCTGTTGCACCTTGGACCATGATTTTTTTTCAGAAATAAGAGACCTGCGGGTATACGAATTGGCACCTAGTTACCTTAGAGTTGAATAAAATACGTCCGATGGTCAGTGACTTCGCAGACATCGTATTCCGAAGGCGTGGGACGCTGTAATATATTCCAGTAATTGGCCCGTCCCAAATTTTGACATTAGCTCTACTGCGTACTCAGCAACATTCCAGCTGAAATATGGCGGCTTGTAAATAATCGAGCCTGGTCCAGATGTGGATGGTAAGAGGAACGATCCACGCATTCCATTAAGAATTACACATATTAACGTAATGCCACGCGAATTAGTCATAGTCAACTATTCCTCATCAGCTGGGATGCTCTGGAGAAGCCTAATGGGTAAAGCGCTGATATGTAAAGTCAAAGGGCTTGGTTCGATTCCCAAATTCGGTAAAGTGACACAAAGATGTCACATGAAGATTAAATTGCAATCCACAGCGATACTACGTTGATACAGAAAGCAAAGTCACTCATCGCGACAAATATTGAACAACCGGGACCTTCTAGAACTGGATCCCAACGGAGACACAACAATCAGGTTAAGGGGCTACCTTTAGCTCAACATCTTGTTAATGCCAAGGTTTGTGGTGCGATATTTGATTTAAAGTTTCAGATCAAATGCTTGCGTCAAGAAATATGCCATGCTTTCAAGAGTAGTAAAAGCCTAGGAGTCGATCAAAGTCTCAACATAAACCATTTATTTACGCTGTAAATACCTCCAATATACGTTTCTCTTCACAAACGAGCTGCCCACACTTTTGCTAATGCTATTTTATGTCTGCTGGAAACTACCCAAATCTAATACTGTCCGAACTTGCTCTTATGGTAAGTATGTAGATGTGGTTTGGCTATGGAGACAACAGATGCGCCACATTAACAGAATACATTATATGTTGGGAAGTGTACATCGTTCATGTCAGAATGCTATCAAGCGAGGGAAATTTCCAAAGCCTACTCGCTACCGTCATAAAATAGGAATGCATCTATTTGTAGATCAGGCTTTTTGATTTGGTAAATGTTATTCGGTTTTATATAAATCTCGGGGGAATAGTTATGGTTTTTCAGATCACTTATGTCAAGCCTAACAAGTTTGGTGTTGAGGGTTTAATTTTATTTTGTAGTGACATTTTGGCCAGACGCAGTTGCCCTTTTTATCTTATAGACGTCTGTAGTTCCGTTGACCAGTGCCTTTCCTGATGCCATGCCATGTGGGTGTTTGGAGGAAATCATTGCGTGCTGCTTTGGTAATAGAAAAACGTGAAGTCCTACACGACATTCTCTTTTATCCATAAATTTTAAAAATTAAAACGGCTGGAATGCATAATAAATCTGACATAGTTGGCATTTCACGTGATCGAAATACAAACAGTAAAAGCCAGAAAAAGACAGTTTCGGTTATCCGCCCAAACTACAGTAAAAGAGTCGCTATGAAAATTCAACAAGTTGGGACTAGTGTAACCTTTTTTGACGTTTGATTTACGTGTAGGACAAGAAATTGTAAATATAGATCGTCAGGGCTGGAGAATCATGACACTCGATCATCTGCCGAAACAGAGGCAGAATAGAACTGGAAAGTTCAGGAATGAGTGAGTGTCAGAGTGAGTTTAGTTTTACTCCGCACTCAGCAATATTCCAGCCATATGGAGATCACTATAGCTGAAATAATGAGGAGTTAAACAAACACACAAACAAACAAACAAAAGCAAAACTCAGTCTTTGGTAAATGTTTCTAAGATCAACACAGTACAATAATCACTGTTATGTCATTACGTTGTGGAAACATTTTGCCAAACAAATGTGTCATAAACTGACAGAACACTTCGAAGCTGCTACACGACATGCCCTAACGCCGAACATTAAATGTCATGCAAAAGGCATGTACATAAAACTGACAGATAAAAGACCAATGAAGTGGACCAAACGCATGCTTCCAGGGGAAGGAACTCATTGAGTTCCTGGAAGCTGGAGGACATCTCATCAAACTGGGTCGAGGACCTGTCTATCACCCCGAGAGAATCGTGTTATGCGAATATAGGACGGTCTGACAGAGTGCTGGTTCCTGCCGAAGTAAACACTTATACTTAACCAAACCCAGAGCATAATCAAGCTCGAATTTCCACAGACTGCATTTGGATTTAATGGTCAAAAAGTTGTGAAAATGATAAAAAATGATCACAAGCGATAGTGACGTGTAACTTGTATTTTTTAAATCAACAAAAAATGTTCGAAAAGCGTAGATTAGATGTTGTTATACGTTGATTTTGATTACAATACTAGTGTCTGTTTGCTAAATCGAACACTCATTAATCCGAACGATTTTGTACCTGCTGGCATTAATAGGTTTCATTATTTAAGGCATTTTCACATAACAGATGCAATAAAATCACTTCTTTTTCAAAGTAATCACAAAGCTTTTGAAACCACTTTGAAGGTCACATAATTATAATCAGTTAAGTGACATTTAACATATTTTCGTTGAAAAAGACAATATGGCGGAAATGAAAACATAATATTGAACTTAAAGTTGATTTATTGGTTTTCTAAGAGGAAATTTATTCCTGTTTGAATTTCCAAATATTTTATGTTTCCTATGAGTTAGGCACAACTAATATTAATCGGAATAAACGATTGGAAATTAGCACCATTTGTATCGAATTTAATATTTTAAAATGTTATAACAGTTTGTGGGAAGATGAAAGTTTTAAAGTCAAACACAAGCAGGTCAATTTGAGCAAAGATTAGACTATCTTGGCCGATGAATACTATCACCTAAACTGTAAATATCGATTGAAAATCGTGTTCTATTTCCTGTAATGTTATCAAATCCACGCCTGATTAGAACAATCATCTGAGAAACGTCACTGCTTGGGAGTATCAATTACTGAGAAAATATTTGCAAACATAATAAAAAGTCGCCCTGGCGAATTCTGTGTATCCTCTTTAATTTCTCTTCCTTTTAAAA